TTGAACTGAACACCAAGATATCGTCCACGTAACATTTGTAATAGGGCAACTGCGCTGTTTCTTCGCATAGGCTTCGTTCCATCATCAGCATGAAGAAATCCGCTAGTATGGGACCCATTGGGCTGCCAATGGCTACCCCATCAATTTGGCGATACGGTATGTTTCGGGAGTGGAAATCGACATTCTCTGTGCATAGAAGTAATGATTCTCTTAAGAATTCAACTGGAATCGGCAACGGACATTCGGAACTTTCTGCTGATTCGCAGATGTAATCAACGGTCTGGTGTGAAGTACTTCACCGTCATTTTCACGCAAAACTTCACCCACTGTTGGTCTGCCTCCCGTGGAACGAATAAGTTGGAACAGTTTGCGGGAGTTTTCTGGTGAGCTGCCCACTTCATCTTACCAACAAACTGTGTCCACCAAACCTCGCGATCCTTCCTGAGGAGCTGTCTGAGCTCAGCACCTGTGGTTCTGCATAGTGCGTTGTACTCAAGTCCGGCGGGAATTGTTCGACGGCTTTCCAGTAACTGAAGAGACCGTGCAAAGATGCAATGACTAGCAGCTCGTCTAGTGAAGCCACAGACCAGAGTAGCGGATTTTCGTAAGGCGCTCTGGATCTGTGCCCAGTGTGTCACAACATTGGAGGATTGAGGAAACAGGTTAAAGGCTAATGTTCTAAAATGTCCCGGGAACATTCGCGGTGGCCAGCTTGTCTGTGTCAAGTCATTTCTGGCGACGCTGTCGTGTGCCCCCAAAGCACAGAATGAAGTTAGCACACACGAGCCCATGATCAGAAGTCAGGTAAGTGTTCCAAATTGACTTGCGGTCCGTTATGCAACCTCACCAACAGTAACTAACAGCGGTGTGGTCAATCTGCGTCCAACAGTCACCAAGCGCCGGAGGTCGCAAGGTGGGTCGTTGGCGCCAGAAACGTCGGAAATTGGTGCTGGAAAAGAGCAAACCGTGGGCAACGCAAAGTGGAAGGAGTCGATCGTCTTTGCCCGTTTTGCAAGTACCGTGGCTGTGTTGATCCCAAGTTCACGCTCTTGAAAATCTGGTCTACCGACCTGCGCATTTAAGCCTCCGGCAAGTATCACGATATCCGTGCGGCGTTTCTTGCAGAGAAGGTCGGTGAGTTGGTGATATAACTCATTTTTGACTTCGTCCGGAATGCAGTCCGTAGGAAGGTACGCCGTCACAATGAATAAGCAGCGCCTACTGGCCCCGTGGCTGAAAGATCGCACTGAGCTTTCCAAGCGGACTAAACAAAGACGGCTGTTGACAAAGAAACAGACAATGAGCGTTGCCTCAGCATGCACACGCAACACAACTCCTATGCCGACGCAACCAGAGGATGTTGCTGTCGCATCTCCAGATAAGCACAAGGTGATTGTGAAATTGGAACTTGGGGATGGTGAGTGCAATCGCAATGTTGTGCTACAGTGTTGTAAACGGGTTTCGGTTAGTCATCAAACGACAGTTGAGAGGGTTTTCAAGGTGAGCGAAAGAGCAGCGTGTGAACCAATCTGCATGGGCGTTCGAACATTGAAAGTATCTGGCTTGGAGAGCGAATGAGGTGCAATAAAATCCTTGCTGTTGGTATTGGAACGTGTGCGATCGGTTTTGAGCGATTTATTGATAGGGCCAAAGGTACCGCTTTTATTTGCAATGCACTTTTGGTGACTCGAAATTGGAGGGGAGTTGCCAAGAACAGGAGGGTTGAATAAACGTGAAACGAAAGACCTGGTTTGCAATGAGGTAGAGTGAGGTTTAGCATGCCCGACCGCCAGCACCTCGGCCAAAGAGACAGAGAATTCAGAGGGAGAAACGTGAGCAGAGAGTCGTAAAGCCAGCATTTCATGTGTTGTGTAGGCGTACAGCTTCCTGGTTATCCAGGTCGAGGAAGGGCTTTGACTTAGGGGGCCCCACCCGGAGCCTTTGATCCTAGGGACCTTAGTCGCAGAGCAGCGAAGCAAGTTCAAGGAATCGTGCTTATTGGGAGCCAGTGAACGATTGTTCGGTTCATACGTCTTTCGTTTCGCTGGCTGCCAAACAAGTGCTTAATACTAATAGTAATTCAGCGTCAAGATGAAAGATTACAATGCTCCAGCGAAGTAAAGCAAGGGGCAGTGACTTTATTTAGTGGCGAGTCACACCTGCCACGTCGCAGTGTTGTTAAACAGACATATGTGGCTTTTTATAGGGAGAACGCTTGCCAGGCGAAAACGTACCACATCCTGGAACACTGCCGCCGAACCTTTCGCTGGAATGGCATAATACCGAAGCACCCAGCTGGCACTACGAGGAGGTAGTTCGGCAAGCCAGCCAGATAGGTAGGCACCTTGTCAACGTTCACATCAAGCATATCACACAGAGGATATCAAATAACTAACATAGAATTCGGGGAAAGGAAATGCGCAATGATGACACGGAATATGCAGCAGAATAACAGAACTGAGCAAATCAAATAAAGACGAATACTCTTTATGCACCATAGGTCGTATGTTACTGCTAACTTTGCAACCTTAGTATACATTTGCCGATCATAAGTGTTGGTATTAATATGATTACGCCTATTCAGGCGTGCATCGCTTTGTCGGGGATATACTATTTATTTATTTGTGTATCTTATTCTTTGTTCTAAGGAATTAGCCTGATTATCAGTGCCTAGCACTCTCCTGATCATACCGTCGCTGCGAACGTACTGGTTGCATTTGACACGGGCAATGTTCCGTAGGCAAAGATGACCAGATTTGAAGACGATTCAGATCCTTAGATTGAAGAGGCAAATATCACTACAACATAGTAAAGCGACTCACAATGGTCTCCTATACACCGCCCTTCAGATTGATGAAATCTCTCTCTGGTGCCACAGGAGGAGTCACGTCTGTCAAGACCATGTAATTAAGAAAACCAGATTGTGCAAAATTGTGGGTTGGATACAATGAAGCGCACGAAACTTTGTGCCCATCGGAGTATTGCTCCTTTCTATGGTAACAGTACGATGAGCAGAGTTTATTGGTAGCGAGGTAATGGTGGCAAATTAGATCTCATCCGCGCATAAAATGCACACTAATCTATACACTGTATTCTCCAGAGCTAGTCTCGAAAGTGCCGTGTGACCGACAACATCTACCTCTGGTAAAAAAAATAGCATTTTCGTGGTTGTTTTCAATAATGATGGCTAAAGCAGCACCAGAGACCCAATGAGGCTAAGTAAATTTATTTCTGTTACAGGATGCGGATCATCAAATCGGCTGGGATGGTCAGGTCTTCGCTTCCACTGCTTCCAGTGGGTCACGGCGCTGGTGGATATAATGATAAAGTGATCGTTCCCGCTTGTCGGTAAACATAAGAAGTTTGTAGTTAATTTATAGGATTAAGTAAAACAATAGACACACAAGTATGACATAATTAGGGCTCCCAAAAGGTATGAACCGGTGCTAGGACGAGTAGTCGCTTAATTTCTTCAACATGAAGTTGCACTTTGTTGAATTAATCATTAATGTAGTCGGTACGAGAGCGCGGTATAATTGTACGATAGGCCAATGCCACTCAGTTTCTATTTCCAAGTAGACTCCAGAAAAATCATAGGCTTTACTGATGCAGGCAGCGACCTCATCCAGGAGAGTATTGTTGGAGTTTTGGAGCAATCAACGTGTGCACGGATCACGACGCACAATCTCAACCGGGACGACTGTTTGCATTAAAGTAAACCGCGGTCATTACTATCATCGGAACTGCAACCTAAGCAGAGGGTTTCTGTGCTGGTATTTCCAGATACTGCTTTCTACAAACGGTTCCACCCTTGTCTGGACTATAGGTAGAGATAGATAGAGATGGCTTAGGAACACAGGGCTTAATGACATAGTGATCAAGGTATCAGCCGCCAAACACTACGATCAGGATGCCCTTTCCAGCTAAAATGTCTAAACAAGACTGAATGCAGTCGTGGAGTGCAGTTCTTGGGGCCAGCAACAACGAAACTCTCCACGAAGCCGGAAGGAGTTGAATGAGCTCAAGGCGGTTGGACCGACTGACCGACTAACAAACTCCAGTGGGTGTTCGGTGAGAGGACCGGCTGTGTGTCAGCCAACTCCAGCAAAAATACATGGTAGTTTTAAAACGCGATTTAGATGAATAACACTTATTCCCGATTTGCACGATATATTCATTGATAGGCATGATTAGTTGTCTATCACTACAAGATTTACAAGTTGATTAGTTGATCATAAAACATCACAGTTGGTCATTGAACAATTAGTCCGATAATAGTCTGACAACTGGTCACCATAATGAGATCATAGCGGAACGAGCTGAAGCAGCAAGAATAGTTTCCGCGATGTCAGATGATACATACCACAGCAAACATAACCCACAGCGTAGTTGGGAGAATCCAGTTTGATACACAGTCGGGCCTCTTATATTATTGCGTTTAGCATACACAAACTGAAGGTAATGTCCTCGTATCATGCGACCCAGCAAATAATGTGCAAAGTATCTTATTTCGAGGGGAGGGAATGTGATACGAGTTGGCCGTGATCCGAGATGTTTTTTCGAAAATACTAAAGGCAATGAGTGGCTAAACATGCAATTGATCGCTCGATACATGTTAAAAAAATCATGCAGCATTCAGTGAAACGCAGTTGCTAGTTGATGATGTTCATGACGGATGCAGAGCAGGTAAAAGGTGCTTGCAATATCCACTCAAATATGCAAGCCTACTGAAAAGCAGGCTGAAGTCCCGTGAGCATGCAATTAGAAATGCAAACCGCGTGATGGGCTGGGGATTAGTAACTTCATCATCGATTAGCACACGTGATGCATCAAGGGAAAACAGTAGACGGAACTTACTCGATTCAGAACTGCGTTTTCCACTCAACTAAAGGTAGTGTGAATGCAAGGTGCGCGAGCCGATTCTTCACAAATTTCGTATGTACCGCGCTTAATGTGATGGAGGAAAGTTGAATGGAACTTTGTGACAATATTCTCAGTAAATGGATGCTCCCATGGGTGACTCGGAAAATCGGGCTCCACTTAATTCCGGAGCAAACCTGAGTATACGCTTCAGTGAGGAAGACATTGAATCGGAGAGTGAAGTGAAATCGCTGGACTTGCGGACCATCTGCTCTGCCAACTGGGCTCAGGACACGAAGTTAAATTTAACTGTACTGAGTGACAACCAAGGACACACTTACTCAATGATGCTGCGCGAGTTTTCAGCCATTGGGTCACTATCAGAGACGTTTCAAAGCTGGAAAAGACTCTTATCGGTAAGTCTTATCAAAGACAAGTTGGAAACCGCATTAGGTGAGACAGAGATGATAGCCGAACTATGTACATACATAGAACAAGCAGATTGCGAGAAAACTCGCCTCCAACTAGAAGGTGATCGACTACTAGAGGAGAACGTTTGGCTAGGTGAAATGAAGCAATTACTAAGAGAAAGGTTGCACAAAATTAAAGACAAGTTGAGGCAAGTAGAAGCCGAAAGGGATGCACGACATTTTATTTATAAGATGCGCTATGCAGGACAGGATCCGCAACCAACAAGACTCAGGTTAGATCCAGCTGTTCTGGACGGCATGCATATTGAGGCATTTCTTTCACCCAGGACAAAAAGTATTTATAACCTGGCGGCGAAGCATATAGCCGAGGGCCGTTTGGACGTGGCAGTGGCTGTGTGCACGCAACTATTACGTGACCAAACAAGAACGGCTGAATTGACTGAAATGGAGCATGCTGTAATAAATTTCCTGTTGGGTATAGTACTCTTACAGAAGGGTAGATTAAGGGAATCGCTCACAAATATGGAAGACGCCCTCGAAACGTTTGAAAGCAATTTGGGAAACAAACATCCCAGCCTGTGCTTCCTACTCAAGCAGCTTGCTGAAAGCAACTCGGAGATGGGAGATCTCAGAGCAACAGAGGAATACATGCGTCGAGCAATCAGATCGATGCGGGTCACCTTTGGTGACAATAATGATGAAACCACGAAGCTAGAAATGGAACTCTGCGATGTGTTGATGCAGTTAGAACGATACGCAGATGCAATGGAGCTAAGTTCGTCAATTGTGTCAAGCGTTCAATCACGTCATCCAGTTCAGGAGCCTATTGTGATCGGGGCAAGGACACTGCTGGCGAGGGCGCAATTCAAAAGTAAACAAGAAGATACGGCGCTTGCCCATGTGAAAAAGATATTACAGGAGTGCTTCCCAAGGAGAGATTTTCAAACCATTGCAGAAGTTGTGGAAGCAGCTGAGTATGAGGAGGAACACCGGTGCACCAAGTTATTGGATACGTATGGAGAGGTGCAAAACTCTCAAGAGAAAGAGCTACTCAAGTTATTGAGTGAAATATATAATGCTCAAGGCAGAAGAAAAGCGGCTCAACAAATAGAATACATACTCAGCTGCTACTCACAATGTTCCGATAAGACAACGGCATAGTACTGGTCGTACCTACGATTTTCAATGGAGATTAATTACTGCAAGTAAAAGTTGTGGGCATCTAGCAACAGGGAGTGTAATATGGCAGAAACTCTGTAAGCTGGTACGACGTTAAAATAAAAGAAACAGTTTGCGAGAAATATCGAGTGCACTGCGTGAAGATGGAAGGGATGGAATATAGGGCAGATTGATGGGGCTAGTAAACAGTGGTGGCTACTGAAAACCGTTCGGGTCATCTGCTTTTATATTACCATTGAGTAGGAGGATAGTTTAATTGAAACGGCAATGTTTTCGTCCCAGCTGCTCAAAAGCTGTTAGCACCAACCGGTTCCGGCTGGACAGACATAATGGTAGTCAGGCAGGTGATGGATTTATTCGGTGACTCATATCGCCATAAAATAAGAAGAAAGCGGAAAATTGCATAATTAAAGCTGCGGACCCAAATAAAAAAGACAAACAAACGTCAAGAATGCAAGAAGAATAAACCCCGGGAATAAAGTGTCCTTGACTTGGTGAGCTGCAGTCGACATTGGGTTTATGAAGCACGCGCCCGTGGTAGGTATATGGTGATGGTCATTGAGACCGATTTTGAGGGCGGAATGACCAGAAATGCTGCTTTATGGAGGACAAAGGTCACCCCAATTAGACGTTTACTCTGGAAACAAAAGGGATTGTGCTGGCACTTTGGGGACCGGATGTTCACGTGATATATGTGAAAAAGCCTCCCAATGAAGCGCTGTATGTTGGGGTAGACAATGGTGCTTCAACTACGCTTGTGGGTATCAAAGCAAAAGGTGACCAAATTATGACTGGGGAAGAGGCACACAAGAGTTCACATGTGGTGGGGTTGGTTACATCCCGAACATGACCCGGTTAGATGAAAGTGGCATTTGTAGGAAGGCTCGTTGGACAGTGGTTAAGAATTACATATCTGACAAAAGTGGTACCTCGGATCTTCTGGCGCACAATGTGCCGATCCACAGAATGGTACATTGCGGAAAATAGATGAACCACGTTGAACGCAAGGTATAACGATTTAAAACCGATTGATTCCTCTGAAGTGCAGCGGTCCTTGACAATAAGCAAGATGGCTACAAAGTTAGGTTGATGCACGTCATAGCTAGTTTCGGTGAAACCCAGTTGCTGCGTAAATAGAGGTAAATAAATCAAGGCCTCGCTTCTCGGAGGAATACGATGACACACATGTCATCATATTCACACAACAAGCACTCGAAAAGATTAATGCTTCCGCTACTGTGGATATGCAAATCATTTGAAATGATCGAATCATGCGACAGATGAACTGTGTGTATTAGACCAACTGCATATTTTTAATTGCGACCCGCAACCACTATCACAGTGACAAACGTTTTCCGTGAAGTCATTAGGATAAGTGGAGTTCATGCATCATTCAATTATACGGAAGAAGAGTTTAAACCAGGATAAAATCATCCATTAGGGCTGGTGTTAGGAGGGAGTCGATTCAAAACTGCCTTCACCAAAGATGTCCCAGAATGTATCAGAAGGGTAAGCCAAAGGTAGTGTGCACGCACCGCAGTGCGCCGTTAGATGCGAGGCGAACAACGTTGATTGAACACTACGGTGTCCTAAAATAATGCAATCCACTGTACTGGCAGTTGTTGCTAGTGTGATTAGTGCAATAACGTTATATGAAACTGCACGTGTTAGAATCATGCTGAAACCTAAGTGTCTGTTCACAGAACCAAAAAAGAGGATGCACCCTTCTTAATACTTAAAGAGAAGGCCTATATAGTAAAGCATAGGGTTAAAGTGGTGGTAAAAAGATAAGTCGAACAAATTGAACTGTAAGGATGCAAGGGTCACGTGGTTGGCGGCATCCGGTTAAGGATTCGAGTATCACTGCAGCCTCCATAGGACCGTCACAGCACGCCTGTGTCTCCTGAAGGACCGTGGGTGGCTTGCGACGCAGCACCCATAACTCCATCCCAATAACCAGTGTAAACGCAAAGAAATAAGAACGGAAGGCATGCGGACGGGAGCCACGTTTCATCATAGAAGCTGACCCATAACATGCACCGCAGCAACGTTCATGTTTGTCTAATTATGGAATCAAGCGTACTAGAAGCACATAAGGCGGTGGCTGGGCCGTAAACCGCTCCATACTGGATGGTAGGGACCACTCTCTGAGCCTAACACTGTCACGAGGGCCGTTCGCCCCGGCTCCTCCAGCAATGATCAACTGTCTCCTGGAGCCAGTATAGCCGAGGTTTTGGGTAATAGACAGGTAGACATCGTGTCAATATTCACATCAAGCGCAGCCACACCGGGGATATCAATCAACAACCAACCGATGTAATGCAAGAAACTCAACACACAGGCAAAAGCACAGATCAACTGCACCGATGATGCGGCATACGTGCTACACCAACCCTATTATTGACCTAGGTTTGTAAATCGAATGGATGCTGATGCAGAGTACTAACGAAGGATGAGCTGATGCTGATTAGATAATCAGCTAACGCATCGTGTTTTGTATGCTGGCCCCACGTAGCCACGCTGGCGGTTTCCTAAGCGAGTTTGGCTCAGAAACTCGGGACCGTATGCGCTAAACCACAATACGCTCGACGTCGATGGGGCAAGATCCATCGGAGTCTGTCAATTCCGTAAACCGCGTTTCATAAGCGCAAACAACAGTGTCTTCTCCTGCATCTGAGTGACCGCCCACTTGACATGCTCACGCCAAGCGCTACGACTCACTGCAAATGTTACGTACCGATCGTGTATTCTTAGCCCGTAATCCATATGGTTGGCAGCATCCGGTTTCGGATTTGCCTGTCACTGTGGTCAGCCACAGCAGTCCTGCGCCGACAGAGGGACCTTGGGTGGCTTGCTTTGCACCCACCACAGCTCCAACCACACACCCCATATCCAGTGTAAACCCGAAGGAATAAGACCGGGAGGCATGTGGATGGGAGCCAGGTTTCATCAACGGAGCCAGCCCACATTCCTTCACAGACAAACACAAGCACGCTGTAGTTGGGAATCAATCGCACACAAGGCGGTGGCTGGACCGTAGTCCGCTCCACACTGAGTGCATGGAACCGCTCTTCGAGCCTAGCAAGACCACAATAACCTTGCACCCCGTCCCCTTCAGCAACGACCAACTGTCTCCTAGAGCCAGATGGACGACGTAGTGGGTAATAGACAGGTAGGCACCTTGTCAACATGCATATCAACCACAGCCACAACGGGATATCAAGCAACAGCCAAACACTTGAGCGAAAGATGACAAAGAAAATAAATCGAGTTATGCAAAAGGAAACCGTGACATAAATCATAAATTAGTGAGCAAATGAAATAAGTTGTTTACAAACGAATCCTACATAAGTTCACGAGGTCAGAAAGTATATTTTACGGAAGTGCCACAAACACGAAAATGTTAACGAAAAATAACTACCATTAACTTAAGCGACGTGTGCAAGTTTATAAAAGAGAATACAGTTAAACATTTATATGAGAAAGAAAAGCATTAGGATAAAAGTGAAAACCCACCACCTGAAATAAATAGACTTAGCATGCAAGCACGCGGTTAGTAAATCGAATGCAGCGTGCCTACAAATGCTGCGCCGGTGCTGCCTACGTTCTCTGTAGGACCCGTTGTCACTTCGGTAGTGGTCCCGAGTGGCCTCGCTCATGGGTCACTAGGCCTGCCTGACTCAGGACCTTGCGACCGCATGTGCTACAACACCATGCGCTCGATGTCGATGAAGTACAACCTTTCGATGCTTGCCGCTTCTTCTCTGCATATGTGAGATCTTTTGCCCGCACTTCGGCAACTGCCTTCGTGATTAGATCGCGCTATGCACGCCGATCAACCGCCTTCGAATCCCATGACCTGCAATCAAGATTAGAACGTGGGAGGCTCACTTTGATCATGTCTTGGTATCGTAACTTTGGTTTCCCCCCATGCCGCTTTCCAATACTCAGCTGACCATATAAGTATTGTTTCGGTATCCGTGTCGATTCCGTACGGCTCACATGACCGAGTCACCTCGGGTGCCTCAGCAGTCCACTGCATACATTCCACTTTGCCGTAACACTTCGTGTTAAAAACACTGTCGCTACAACCGATGCGCAAAATCCGTCGCAAACACTGTTGATGGAACCGCTCATGATATCGCACATCCCACCGGTACATCATCCACGTTTCACTGCCGTATAGAAGAACGCACAGCACCATGGATTTGTACACCATGAGCTCCGTGCCAACGGTAAGCTGACGGTTGTTCCACACTCAGTACTCAAGCATCACGAATGCCACCGCTGCTTTCGAGACGCGGATACGCAACTCACTGTGTATCTGCTGATCAGTCTACATCATACTCCCAAAGTAGCAGAAGCGGGAGGTGGTTTCCAATACTTCAGCATCAATGCTGATTCGCGGCAATATTGAAGATTGCACCACCGGTGAAGGCTGAAAGATACAGACAGTTTTTCTTGTGTCGATAGTGAACCCGAATTTGGCCGCTGTCGAACCCAGAACACTAGTCAAATACTACAACTCATCCGCGCTGTGTGCACAACGCACAGTCGTCAGCAGACAGCAACAGACGGATAGTTGTCTCACAGACTAGAGTTCTCGCACCGAAACGACGGATGTTCAGCAACCCATCATCAATCCGGTGCTCCACATGAACATGGTGAGTACAAGTGGCATCAAAAGCACAAGACATCATTGCATGAAGATATATATTAAACAGGGCAGGAGCTAAGACACAGCCTTGTTTCACACCAGTGACAACTGCAAAGTCATCCGAGGTCTCTCCACTCAGCTGCACCCTCGCCCGCATACCACTGTGCAGACATTCAATTAAACTTACAAACTTACGCGGGCAAACAAACTTACCCACCACCAGCCACAATACCCCGCGGTTCACCGTATCAAATGCCTTGATGAAATCAACAAAAAGCGAGTACAACGGATGGTGTCGTTCTCTGCACTTTTCCTGCAACTGACG